CCAATCATGAGGCATACTACAGCAAAAGTACCTGAAATTTCCATTAGAGTCTTAATAAGCCAGTTCATAGTTAAATAAAAGTTTTCAGTGTGCATGTGATTTTATCCCGAATTTCTCACCTTCTTTTAGCTATTTAAGAACAAAAGGTTTAAACAAAATAAGGTAGAAGGTGAGATACATTTGAGATAAGATTGTATGCACACTGGAATTGATACAAACTTGCTTTTGGCATTTACCACAAACCAGTTGGCTCAGTTGGATGAGCATCAGACTTTTGTGAGGGAGGTCGTGGTTCGAGACAAACACTCAGGGTCTTAAATTAACTGAGGAGAAAGTGCTGCCTTTGTAATTACATCTGCAAATGGTTTAAGACTTTCAAGTGGCTGGGATGACCACTTTAAATGGCAGTCCTGTCTTTCCACACTCTTCATAATTACTAACCATGAACATCGGACGGACGTAAAAGAATCACTGATCGAGGACATAAAGAAACCCTGGCAGTGACCACCCTCAAAGCCTCCACTTCATACTGACCATCTCTCATGCTTGTAAATTGCACAAAAAGCAATCTGATATTAACAACTCAATGTAAAGTGCCTTTGGTTATATTCATAAATCACTATCATTACATTACTTTTTACATTTATTTTTTCTCTTCTATTCTTCCCTCCATATGAGAGTGTCCAGTGTACCTCTTCTCTCTCTTTCTCCCCTCAATGCAAAATGATGTAGTGAGGGTACGAGATAACTGAGGGGCAATCACACATAAACATTTTGAAGTGAAAATATCAAAAAATCCAAATGAAAATTATCAATATAACAAGTAAGAGAAACATTTGCTTTAAGGCTGGGATGTTACCTAGGCATGAAAAACAACCCCAAAATTGCTTTCACATATAGAACATTGTGTAGTTCCATAAAATATCCACACTCCATCCAAGGAGGAAATCGGAATAATTCTAGAAGGGAGGTTGTCATAGAAATAAAAATTACAGAGTTTGTGTGGAAGAAAATTGAAATTTTTTGGGGGGTAGGGGGTCCTTTAACAAATTTCCTCCATGGTGGGGGTATTATCATTTTCTGGAACTACACATTTCATTGCAAAAACACTATAAGAAATTCTAACATGGATGAATGAACTTGCTATTCATTACTCCCAAGGCTGACTGACCATGAATGCAGATCAACTATTATTGTACTGATTGAAGTAACAAAGACAGAATGAATTGGAATATTCTAGAAAAGTAGTTACTCCAAGACTAAATGTTATTAAATCAATTAACAAAACAACAAAACATTATGCAAACTTAGATTTAGCTTAGATTATAATTTGTTTGCTGACTTCAAATCCTTTTAGCACTCAGATATCATTTTAAAATCGTGATTATACTTTATATAATAGTATAGTCATTGTTAATATATAGTATCACAGGAAATTAGAACATTCATGAAATTTGAGTAGGTTGTCTTAGGCACAACAATAGGCGGCTTTGCAGCTAATTGCCAAGTGCCTGTCCTGGTGAGCACAACTTTTAATCTTATTTTAAATTGTTTATTCTTTTTATCTACTTGTAAAGAAGTGAATGAAACGATTTGTAACCAGTGTGTTACAAAATGCAGTTTTATTACGATCTCTCAAAACAGGTTGTAGAATTTGTTTTTGCTCACCAGTATATTTCACCAAAATGGGAATCAAGATATTCATTTATTTGCTCTCGATGAATTAATCAGCACATGATTACTAAAGGCCTGTTACATACATCATGTATGTACTATTCTCTAGGGACTTTTTTAGTTTCTGCAATTCTATCCATGAATTCCTATCCATACATTATTTTCCGGTGTCATTTTACTTTTTTAGTTTTTGCAATTCTATACATACAATGTTTTCCGGCATCATTTTACTAATAATAGTACAGTAATTTATATATAGTATCACAGGAAATTAGTAACAGAATGTGTGAACATTCATGAAAATTGAGTAGGTTGTAATGGCAGCAAATGAGACAGTTAACAATCAATGATAACAATTACATACATGTAAGTACTAATCCCTTGGGACAGTTTTAGTTTTTGCAACTCTGTCCATACAATATTTTCAAAATTAGCTTTTTCTTTGAGGCTATTGAAGCAAACTAGGAGCTTTCTCTTTCAAAGTTTGACCATGTTTAAGTAGTTGAGTGCACACACTAAACCTTTGAATAATATTTAAATCCTTTGTTTACTATTGTTTGATTATCACTATTTAATACTAAAAATTTGTATTTTTTTACGTTGTAGCTAGTGCAAGCACTCTAATACAAACAATTTAATATATGTTAGTATATTTTGTAATTGTTTTGTAGGAATGGAAGGGGGTGGTGTAGCCGATGACATATCAAGTAGGAAGCTCAGCTTGACAACCTTGAACATTTGCCATGTGTCCCATATTGACTTACAGCAAGAAAAAACCTTATTTTTGGTTTCACGAGCTTTCTATTTACTTAAATATAAATAAGCCTATAAGGTTGTGTAAATACTAACCTATCGATAAGTGTCTTGAAGTGCCAAGCAAAGTGTAAACAATAAGAGGAACAAAAGCGAGATACAGCCCTGTGATAGCCGGTAAAGATGCCAACATGGCATAAGCTAGACCTATTAAAATAACCAAACACGCATAAGAAACACTGTTCAATACCGATAATAACAAAGCAAAAAAGCAAAAGAAATCTTAAATCATACGTGCGCCATCATAAGACCAGTACCTTGAGGTATATGTAAGACTGCTACGGTAAGRCCACCGGCTACGTCTGGTAGAAGATTTTCCTTCACTTGATACTGCGGTAGCCATAATAATATAGGAAACCAGGAATTCAATACTCCTCTCAAAGTCAGTTTAGATAAATTCGTACAAAAATGCTTCCTTAGTCTTTTCGCCACGGACTTCTGTTTTCTTGYCGAATTTTTTGGCACATAACATCGTTTGAATTCTTGTTCATCAAAAACTCTCCTCGAGAGCGAAATTTGCCTTTTGGAAACGTCCATTTTGAAGCTTGATTCGTTGTTCGATTATAATCCCTTCATTAGATATAAAACAGAGATATCTTGGCGTTCAAAATCTCTGCATGAAGTTCAAAATAAAGATCCTTCGCCAGACGAAATAAAAATCCAGTGACATTAAAAATTACTGAGCTTTGACTGCGTTATGATATCACTGCTGTTGACTAATCCTTCTTGTTATTTCGATCGAAGCGATCGCCAGGAGAATCGTTTTTCATATGAAACTTTCCTACGATTTCAACTTTTGTCCTCTTTTTTTAATATTCCACGGAATACCGCTGAGCAAGAGTAACGCACGTGACCTGCATCACGTCCGTCCGTCACTATTTGAGAACCGCTTCAATGAACTCGATTATTTAGTATTTTTTTAGCATTGATTTCATCAATACAAAACAACCAAGCGATAGATTTGGCCCAGGTAATAAAATCCAAGTATTCCTGTCAAGATATTTGGTTTGATGAGCAGATTTTATCTTGACGGATTTTAATGTAAGGGACTGGGTCCTAGTCTAGACATTTACCAGGTGTAAATATTATTGTGAGAGTTTCTGGGAATAAATTAACGGGGGAAATGTATATATAAGCTCGTGGTCACGATGAATCAGCGTTTTTCGATTTATTGAATATACTGAGATGGCCATCGAAAAAGTTAATCTCTCGTAAAAAACTAAACCCTCAAAAAAGGCTGGGCCTTCGGATCAGTCCAGTATTTCAGTTTTTTCTCTTAGTTATCTGAATGAAATACAAGCCTCAGTTACCTCAGACAAAATGGAAAACGAAAAAGGAATGACGAGAAATTTTGTTGAAGGACAAACCGTAACACCGATATCATTTTTTGTAACATTGCGCCGGGCAATTTTGTGTAAAAATGTTTGCAAAATAATCAGAAAGGTTAAAAAATTGTGCAAATAAATATATGTTTACATAAACTAGGTTAAAAGGAAATAAACTTGCTAACATTGATAGAGATAACTGATGTTTAGTTCACAGCTGGGACTGCGAAGAGGGAGGGATTGGGGGATTTTTGCTGGCTTTTTGCAAATATCAACTTATACTTATGTAAGAGAATTCGAGAACAGCTGATTTGTGTACCATTGAGAAAAATTGTCCCGAGGGCACTCTTTTGTTCGTTACTCGAGCAAATCTTACGGACAATATACGGCACGATGATTACTTTATTTCCTGTTTAAAAGTGTCCCGTTACTTGGTAACTTGGACCCCAGCCAAGCGGCACTGTAACTGG